ACAATTAAAACAGACATTCGGATGGCGGGGGAAGAAGAACAAACTGGGGAGTAGGGTAGAGAGAATGGTGCAGCAAAGAAGGAATGAAAACCCAAAATCCCTGTAAATGTTCATTAAAACGAATAAAATTTAATAATAAAAAAAAGTTCCTGGCTTGTTAAATAGTAGCACAGCACAGAGAATTTAAAACCCAAGCTAATTCATTAAGTGCTTGAAGCCAGGTTCCCATCCTCTAGGGTCTATAGTCTATTTGGGGAGATATGTTGGAATCAGGTAAACCAGTTTGTGATTTAAACAAAATAATATTTCATTAACAACTAAAACCAAGTTCTACCTTGAGATTATAGGTTAGGAAAATGATCAGCCTTCTTGGATTTAGCTTTGACAAGACTGTCTACACTCCAGCAGGATAAAAAGGGAAGCCACAGACTGGGAAAAAATACTTGGTAATGGTAACATGTCAGATAAGGGACTTATATCTAGAATTTATAAATAATTTTAAATACTCGAGTACCACAATAAGAGAAATTTAAATAACCCAGTTGAAAAATGGGCATAGAATATGAACAAACACTTCACCAAATAAGACATTCAGATGGTGAACAAACACATGAAGAAATGTTCAAAATCCCTAGCTCAAAGAGAGATGCAAATCAAAACAACTATGAGATATCATCTCAGACCAGTAAGAATAGCAAAATTTAACAGAACAGCAAGCAACAAATGCTGGTGAGGTTGTGGAGAAACTGGAACCCTTAATTCACTGTTGATGGAAGTGTAAAATGGTGCAACCACTATGGAAGGCAGTATGGCACTTTCTCAAAAAGTTGGAAATAGAGATACCATTTGACCCAGCAGTTCCACTATTAGGAATATACCCTAAAGAAACCAGAACTGCCACCCAAACAGATATATGCACACCCATGTTTATGGAAACTTTGTTCACAGTAGCAAAGAGTTGGAAACAACCTAAGTGCCCATCAGCAAATGAATGGCGAGAGAAGCTGTGGTATATTCACACAATGGAATATTAGGCTACATTGAGAAACAAAGAACTCATGAAATATTATTGAAAGTGGAGGACATTATGCTGAGTGAAATATCTCAGTCACAAAAGGACAAATACTGCATAGTGCCACTTTTGTAAAACGGGACTAACATCGGGGTTGAGGGGAGACGGAGAGAGAGTGGACAAATAATGTATACTGCATTGAAACAGATGAGGGAGAGACCTGTTTAAAAGCAATATATGATTAGTTATTATTATTATGACAGGAGTCCAGAATGAAGGCTGCGTAGTGGCGTGCGCTTGGTGGGGAGGGATTATATAACTATGAAAGAGTTTTTCTTTTCAAAGAGAAAAATGAATTTGGGGGAGGGGTGGGCAGGGAGAAAAATGCAACAATGAATGAATGGAAATCCAAAGTCTCTGTAAATGTTCATTAAAATTATTAAGTTTTTTTTTAAAGACGGTGCTATAGTGAGAGGATCTCATTGTTATGAACTGTGGCTCAGTTTGTCATAGAAAATTGAAAACATTCTATACTTAGTACAATGACTGGCTTAAAGACCATGCTACTGAGTGTCCTTTCAGAGTGTTAAAGACTGCTTTTTGTTGGTTTTCCTCACTTTTGTAGAGCAGTTGTGACGGGACAGGAGCGCTGTACTTCGTAGGATGCGGTTATAATGCTTTTCCTGTTGGATCTGAGTATGCCGACTTCCCCCACATGGATGACAAACAGAAAGACAGAGAAATAAGGAAATTCCGATACATTATACATGCGGAACAGAATGCCTTAACATTTAGGTAGGATATTACTTTCCATGTTGGTTTTTTCTTTTTTCAAATAAATTTTTTCATTGTCTTTTTGGTAAAAATGTACGCAGCAGGTTTGGTTCACTTCTAATGATTTCCACAGAATTGACTGATGATATTAAGTACGTTTTTCACATTGTGTCAGCATTCTCATTGATTGTGTCCTGGCCCATATCCAGCCCTCTTGATTCCCTCCCCCTTCTTATCTTTGCTTTGGAATAAAAGATGAGATCCTGGATGCACACAGGTTTGGGGGGTTGTGTTTTGTTTTGGGAGGTTTTATTTTGTTTTTTCAGTTGTTTGTTGGTTTTTGTTGCTTGATTTTTTTTTGCATGTGTGTTTTTTGGTAGTTACTGATTAATAGGTTATATCCTTTATATCCTTTATTTTCTGTATCCCACTTTTCTAATAAAAGTGATCTCAGATTTGGGTTCAAAATTTGAAGACTGTCACAGGATCGTAGTTTTGAAAAATCTCAGTGGTCCTGTTAATTTTTGGCTTTTATTAATTTGCCATTTTTTTCTTAATTGTTCTCTTGTTCTAACCAAGATTATCCATTACTGCTTCAGTCAGATCAGTCTGTGGTGTTAGGCGGGCACCATCTAGTTCTCCTGGTCTTGAGGTAGATGAGACTGTAGCTTGTGTAGGCCATCAGCACTGTAGACTTGTTTCTTTTCTGTGATTCTGATTATTGTCTTACTATTTTGTGCCTGATAACTAAAGATTACTTTTGTATGTAATTTCCTTTAAAAAGGTATGTGAAATTTTTTTTTAGGTAGCATATATTCTTTTTCAAGTTCCAAAAACCATACTTTTTAAAACTAAGTTATGTGCTATCAAGTCAGTTCCTCTAGAGGAATTCTGTAGGACAGAATAAAATCGGTCCATTAGGTTTCCTAGGTAGAACTCTTTGGGGAAGCAGATTATCAGTTTTTTCTCCCCAAGTGACTGGTGGACTTGGACTGCTGATTGTTCAGTTAGCAGTCTGGCACTTAACCATCGCACTACCAGGGCTTCTCTTTCAGAAATGTAGCTGGGGCATCTTAGCACTACCCAGAGGCCATTGTCGTAGATTCTCCAAGCTTTCAGATTTTTTGAGCAAGTCTTTTGTTTTCCCACTTTCTCCAACCTCATAATGACGTAGGTAGGTAGGTGATGAAAGCCTGCATCCGCCTAATGTGATTTATTCTGTTTGAAAAGCAAACACGAAGTGTTAGTTCAGTAAAAGCGAGTCTTGTGCCAAATTCTATCACACAAACAAACCTTTGTTAGATAAGATTTTGTCAGGAAGTAGGCATAAAAAGTCATGTTACCCACACACTCAGTGAAGTCTCAGCTTTTTTCTTTCAGCCATTCTTTACGTGACATATATATTCTCTTCCCTCACCACCAAATCTTATTTCTTTTGTTATTGAGAATATATACAGCAAAACATAATAATTCTACAATTTTTAGCAAGTATAATTTAGTGGTTTTAATTGCATTCTTTTAGCTGTGCAACCATTCTAATACTCCTTTTCTGAGTTGTTCATTCCTCATTAATGTAAATTTGCTGCCCCATAAGGTTATTTTCTAGTCTTCTTAGTTGCTGTTGTCAAAACAGTTTTTAAAAACCTCAAAAAGCTTAACATGGATATTTCTCAACTAGTGAATTGTTTAGTTTTAAGACTTTAGAGGATTTTTGTTGTTGTTGTTGTTTAAAGATTATCTCAGGACAATAGTTTCAAAAATGCATCCACCCTTCATGAGTCCAGAAAGTCTAGAGTCCGTAAGAATTTGAAATTCTGTTCTGAATTTTCCCATGAGGATTCTTCTATGGAATCTGTGGTCAAAATTTTTGGTAATGGTAGCTACATACGATCCAGTTCTTCTGGTCTTGTGGCAAAGGAGGTAGTTGTACCGAACCTTCTATATTCTCCTATTCCAGGCTCTCCTTCCTTTGTTGTTCCAGGTGAATGGAGGCCAATTCTTCTGCTTTGGCAGTTTGCAAGCTTTTACAGTCCTATGCACGATACAATAAGCCAGGGGCAGGAAGAACATATTATTTGACCAATTAATTGGTATGCCCCGGGAAATATGACCTTAAACTGCCAAGCCAAGGAACAAAATCCCATTGTAAATCCTTCAGTAGCTGTCCTTTTTATTTCTTTTTACTGCTTTTCCATCTATTGCACAATCTTTGCCAATTCAACTTTTTATAGATCTACAACTTTGTGACTGCAGTTATAACAGCCGGCTGTGGATATATCCTATCTCCATACTTCAATTTATATGCAAAACAGATCATCTGGGAGGCTGGCCTCTATGAGGAGAAATGTGGCATTAGGATTGGAGGAAGACTTATCAACAATCTGTGTTATGCAGATGATACAACCCTGCTTCCCGAAACTGAGGAGGACCTGAAGCACTTGCTGCAGAAGGTCAAGGACTGCAGCCTTATACTTAAGGATGGATTAAAATTCAACATCAAGAAAACAAAGATTTTTCACCACTGGGCTGATTGGCAGAATCATTATATGGTGAAGAGATTGAGATTGTTACCAGCTTTAGTTTGCTTGGCTCCACAGTGAACACTCTTAGTACCAGCAGCCAGGAAATCAAAAGGTGAATTGCACTGGGAAAGTCTTCTGTAAGGGACCTTTCCAGAGTACTGAAGAGCAACATTGTCAGACTGGAGACTAAGGTGTGCCTGATCCAGGCCATAGTCTTTGCAATTACTTGCTGTGTGTCAGAAAGCTGGACAATGACTAGGGATCATAGAAGGAGAATTGATGCCTTTGAGCTGTCCCTTTGTGCTAGAGAAGAGTATTGGACTGGTGGGAGAGCAAACAGGTTCATCCTAAAGAGTGTGAAGCCAGAATGCTCCTTGGAGTCAAGGATTCTGAAGCTTCGTCTGACACACTTCTGGCATGTTTCAAGGAGGGACCAGTCCTTGAAGAGAAACACCATGCTTGGGAGGGTAGAGGGACAGCACAAGAGAGGAAGACCCTCAGTGAGAGTGATTCAGTCATTAGGGTGGTGGGAGTAGATGTGTCAGAGACAATAAAGTTAGCACAAGAAAGAGCAGGGTTTAGGGCTGTTGTACATAGGATTGCTATGAATCACAAGCAACTCGATGGCACATAACAACAACAGTCCTACCCTTAATCAATGAGATTTTTCTTTTACTCTTGTTCAGCACTTCTCTTCCTTCCTGCCCTTGCTAACTACTACTAATCTTTGGTCTCTGTAGACTTGGGTTTTCTTGTATTTTTATATAAGTAAGATTATACAATATTTGTCCCTTTGTAATGAGCTTATTTTGTTGAGCATTATGTCTTTTCTGCTCCACCTGTGCATCGACACTTCATTTTCCCTTCTGCCTTAGTAGTTATTCCATTGTATATATATATGCACTACATTTTGTTTATCCATTCATCTGTTGATGGGTATTTTGGTTGTTTTCAACATTTGGCTATCATGAGCATAGAGGTACAACTCTCTTTTTCAGTCTTAAGACTGGTGGCTCTGTTGTAAAACAGGACTGACATCGGGGTTAGGGGGAGACTGAGAAAGATGGGTTCAACAAGGTATACTGCATTGAAACAGGTGAGGGAGAAAACTGTTTAAAAAGGGATATGTGATTAGCTATTTTTGTCATGACAGGAGTCCAGAGCAAAGGCTGCATAGTGGAGTGGACCTGGGGGAGGGTTTGTAAAACAATGAAAGAATTTTTCTTTTAATTTTCCAAGAGGGTAGTGTACTGGGGGAGGGTTGGGAGGGGAGAAAAGTGTAACAATGAATGAATGGAAATCCAAGGTCTCTGTAAATTTTCATTGAAATTAATAATAAATTAAAAAATATTTAGCACTGAAAAAGGAGTTCAGCCTTTGGAACAAAGGAAAAAAGACTGGTGACTATTTTTTTTTTAAAAAAAATTAAAAGGCAGAATATAGCTAAAGATCAAGATCGATAAAGATAAAGCTCAGATGAGAAGTAAAGATATACTAGAAGGATTAATAGAAAGGAAAATCACGGGGAAGATATTAGAAGGTTGGAGTTACATTTTGGGTAGTAAAAGTTATGTCACAAAGCAAAATGATTGAATGGAAAAGAAAAATGTAGAGTGTGGGGGGAAAGATTGGTGACTTAGTGATTGAAGTTAACACTGCCATCTCGGAGGCAAGCAGTTCAAATCCACTGGCTGTCTTCAGGAAAAAGATGGACAGTGATATACAACTTTGGAAAACCTGCTGAGGGGTCAGCTGTGAATCTGTTCTGACTTGATGGCACATAACCCTACCAATGTGGTTTTATAAAGTTGATAATTTGTTTTTTCACTTTATTATTGTCTTTGGATTTTTCATTTCTATAAAGTCCCATTTATTTCTTCTGCCTTTTGCTATTTGTATTTTTGATTTCTTAATATGTTGTTGAAAGCTACACCTAGCAACATTGTTCCTGCTTATTCTTTTAAGAGTTTTATGATTTTATTTTGCATATTTGAGTCCTTAATACATTTTTAATTTGTTTGCATGTGTGGTATAAGACATAAATCCTAGCTCATTTTTCTGTATGTGGAAATCCAATTTTCCCACTGCCATTTTTTGAAGAGATTCTTTCTCCACCCATCCGCCCACCAAATGGGCTTAGCACCCTTGTAAAAAATCATCTGACCCTACAGGAGTGGGTTTATTTATTTTCAACTCTCTATTACATGCATTATAAGTCTATTGTTTTGTAAGGAACAATTTCTATTATTGGAGTTGTATATTTTAAAATAGAAAGTGTGGGTCATTCTACTTTATTCTTTTCTTTTAACATGTTGTTGCTATCTGAGGCCTCTTGCCATTCCATATAAAGTTGAGGATAGGTTTTCCTGTTTCTGTAAAGACGGCTGTTAGAATTTTTATGAAGATTGCATTGAATCTGTAGATTTCATTGCGACTCCCCACAATGTTAAGTGTTCTAGTCCATGAACATGGAACATCTTTCTACTTATGTAAGTCATT